TTGGGCTTTCGGCCAAAAATAGCTATAGCAATGAATGGCAGACTGAAGTCTGCCTTGTTGTGTCTTTAAATGATTGCCATTGACACAAAGTACGCCAGCAGGCTCGCTCGGCCTGGAATTCTTCACAGGCTTGGACCTCCGCTTAGTTCTGCGGCAGGGCGGAGTTGATGACAAAGAACTAAAAGAACTGAAAGGGGAAGGAGAAGAGGAAGAAGACGACGAAGAAGACCATGAGGAAGGCTCTTTGCGTCTGGTTCAACGCTTCTTGGTGTGGCACGTTTTTCGTCCGGTGCCTTTTTGAAGCCTTGGATCTGTGCCTGGTTCTTGCCTTGCAGAACCTGGGTGGATCAAAAGTGCCAGACGAAGACAATTCGCTGGAATTCGGGTCCATGGCACTGACCCCAAGAGGGGTACAACAAAAGCAATTTTACCTTGATCAGCTTGGCTGTTTCGGCGAGCACAGGCCTAAGCACGCAGAAAGAATGAACAGTGAAACCGAAGGCCACAGACCAAAAGGCTGTGGCAGAAGATTTTTGTGACAACACACATCGGCTCTTGCATGATGTAAGCGAATTAAACAGCTCGGCATCTGGAGGGCCAAGTGCTTTTCGCTGCATCTTCGATGCCAGGCCAACGGATACCCCAATCTGTGCCGTCACCCGTATCAAATGTAACAGGCCGTGGGGCTTGGGAGCCTTCGGAGGTCTTCATGTTCAGCTGGGCGCTGTGGGTGCTGGACAAGACCCACAGACGGTCGATGTGACCAGCTGCTTCCCTAATGGCCCGCCGTTTATCTCCTGATGGAGAATGAACGAGTGCATGAAATTTGCACAGATGGCCTTCATGAGCCGTGCTTGAGGACTTGCTCTTGTGGTGGGCATTTCCCAACAAGCCTCCGACTACCACACCTGCACTGTTTTTGGTGCTGTGGTGGAGCTTGGAAACAAAATCCAGCTTGGACAGTTCATATTGAACCTCCTGGGCCTCAGCACTGGAACGAAGAACTCTACCAATGGTAGGAATACCAACATGGCCTTCGGCCGTGGTGCCATGACCCCAACACTAATAGCACTTGGGACGTTCTTCAGATCCTGGCATGTGCTTGAGTGGGAATTCCCATACACGCAAGCTTCTTCAGGAATAGCAAAAGCCTCAGCATCATGCTGGAAGATCTCCTCATAGGGGATCTTGCTAGCCAGAATGGACTTTGCGAGAGTAACAATCTCCTTTTGCCCAGTAGGGATTACAGGAACGAACGGGTGCTCTCCGAACCTTGACAAAAGAAACCGAGTTACTTCCTCAACTTGTGCAGCTGGGATTCTGGCGATCGGCAATGAATGTTGCCTGGCAAACACTTGTCGATCTGCAAAATGTCGCAGCTGGCTGTGTGGCAGTATTGGCCACCGATGCAGCTTGTTGATGGTCAATTAGTTCTCAAGATAATGCAACACAAAGAACATGTAAGCCAACAGATGAGGAGTCAGGCCCTCCGGATAGTGATCCGTAGCATTGCGGCCTTTGGCTCGCTGTGCTATTTGATCTCGTAGCTGCTCGTAGGTGCTACGGTTTGAAAACGAGGTTTCAACAATGGTGGGTATGTCGGTGATCCAGCATCGTTTGAAGCTGGACTTCGACCTTTTCGAGGAGTCTTCGGGTGTCCTGTCTTGGACAGCAAATCAACCGAGAGCACTGAGCAGCCTGTAAGCTGCTGGTATTCTTGGACGATCAGTCAGACTGATCTTAAAATTTGTCCTCGAGGTACAGCGTTGAAGAATCCAAGCAAATCATCCTTCCACTCTGTATCGAGCTCAGCACTGGGTTTGGCCCAGTGGTTGTGGAACGATTTCCACCATTGTGTCATACTTTGCATGCCAGGACTGTCAGAGTCAGAGTATGAAGTCTTGACATTGACAGTCAAAGCGATGGATGCCAGCTCCAACAATTTGCTGCAAAGCGATCCTGCATATGAGATTATGGTACGGCCTTTCGTGAACTGTTTGTTCCGTTTCAGGAAGACCGCTCCCTTAGGCAAGTTCGCATGCTTGGCAATGCTCCAGGAATACCGTTTGGAGAGGCTCGCCGGAATTTCATTCACCGCTCCAGCCCAGCACACAAGAAGGCCTTGATGGGATCGACCCGAACTAGGTGAGGGCTGTGCGTGTTGTTGTGTGACAGTCCGTGACTGCATGTGCAGACGTCTGTATGCGCCTTGCAAGTGACAGTGCGTTGCGCTCTTCAGGAGGTTGGGTTTAGGCAGGTTTCAGGCAGTGAGGACTCTGTGAGTCAGTTGCCAAATGGTTGTAGAGTGTTCAAGTATGTCTCTTGGGTCAGTCAAGCACTTTTATGCTGCAGCCCGATTTAATCCGGGCATGTGTATGTAAACGCCTGGACATGTTGTCGGCTCGTGAGCGGGGGGTCCCAGTTACTCATGCTCGGACCAACGAAGACCATGAGTAGCAGACGTGTAGACGTACTTGTTAAGTGGAGTACCTGGGTGGCTGGGTCCGCAGCTGGTATCTTCAACAGGGACAGAACCCAACGTGTTACATGTTACTGTCAACATTGCACTTCGCACACAGCAGCATAGGCCATTCCTTGTGTCCGGCAGGACGACGAACACACTTTCAACGGGATAGCTGCTTGCCTTCTTCGAGTAGCTGCGAGATCATTTTTTATAGCAGGGGGTGCCATGAGAACAAGCGTGCTGGCACCAACGAAGATTGCTCTTGCTTCTCGCGATGGGTCCGTGCACGCACGAACCTGTACCTGCCATTCAGCTTGTGACGTATGATCGTACAAGCCTTGCCCGGTGCCATTTCTATTCTGATGCTCTCATTTAAGTTAATTTTGTGTGTGTGTGTGTCTTTGTGTGTGTGTGTGTTTTGTTTTGCCAAACAGTACCTGTAAGGGGCCGGAGCTTCCAAGTTGCACCCAACGATCCAGGATTCGGTGCAAACCGCATCTGATCGTTAGCCTCTTGCACAAGCCGAACATAGCATAAGCAGCTTTTCCTTGACAATCAAGTGTCGTAGCAGCGGACGGTCTGATGGCCTGTCGACGTCACAGTCGTAAGGCCGTGGTTGTAAGCCTTGTAACGATTCGGTCTTTTCGAGAGGGGCTAGCCCCCAACGAAGCTGCGAGGTGACGCCTGCGGAGCCACCGGCGCCAGACGATGCCCCTGAGCAGGCCGAGCTTGTGGCCCTAAACTCAGAGTGTGCAGTTTTGAGCTTATATATGAGCCGAGAAAACCTCTGGAAAACGTTACGATCTGAGGCCGCGGAGTTCCGGAAAATGATGCAGGACTGGAGCCATCCGAGTCCCTACTGGTTCGAGGAACACGATCTCCGACCTACGGGTTTGTGGTCGTCCCTGACGGCGAGCGAGGCTGACGGAGCAATAGCTCTTCAACAAGGCCAAGGTGTTCGATTGAGTGCCGCAGCCGTTGAGCATTTTTCGACACTCTTGGAGAAGACGCAGCTGTCATCCATGCCGAAGATCATCATTCTTGAGGTGCTCTCGAGACTCCGAGGTGTCGTGAGGAGGCAAGTCGAGGATGAACAATTGCTGTTCTACTTGCTTTACCCGTGGGCTTGGTTTTCTGAGTCCATGGGCCGTGGCCTGAAGCTGCCTTACGGCAGGGACAAGGTGCATGCGATGCTGGCAGAGATGGGACGCATGGGAGGCAAGCCCACTGAGTCTCAGGTGTCGCCACCGTTTAGAGGGTTCTTCGTTGAGTGGATGCCTCTCAAGGCGGGAACACAGCGGCCGGAAGGCCCGTACATTCCGTTGGCACCGACACCTGCTGCTTTACCTGCGCAGACGCCAATTACGCCCGAACCAGCAAAAGTGGCCCGTACACCCGTGCCAGTGCCCGCGGCTGCCAGTGCTCCCAGAGGTTTTTGCAAGTATTGGCTCCCGGAACCGGTTTTCAAGTCAAGACAAGACCTGCGAGAGCTTATTACAGGACCTGGTGGCTCTCATTTCGCGCATATACTCAGAAAGTATCCCAACGTGGACCTGCGAGTTGAAGGTCAAAATTCTCTGAGTGTACCGCCTGCTCACCGGCTGCACGTGTCTATGAGCAGCGAGGATTCAGAGGTCTTCGAGAGTGCTTCGGCTGATGTCTTGGATTTGGTGGAGACCGTTTGCGACATGGTCGGCGAGGAGCTGCAGATGGGCGAGGAGCGACAACATACACATGTTGCAGGTGCATTCTCGATCCTTCGACAATCGTTCATATGTTGCGAAAAGGTTTCTCTCCGTTCTCTCGCAACTTGCTTGCGCAGGAAGAGGTGGACAAGTTGATCTCTCAGGTCCGTGCAGAGAAGTACTTCGAGGCGCATGGCATTCGCACTCCGCTTCCGACAGCACGCCCCACGGCCGCGGCAGCCAACGCAGAAGCAGAGTTCGAATTTGTGGATGATGAGATGGCACCTTGTACTGCACAAGTGTATGCCGACGTGGCACTGAGCCTGCTTGTGCCCATGTGATATTGTGACAACGTGTTCATTGTTAGTTACCTGTACGAAGGAATTTGTGCATGCCAGCCTTCTCTCCTTGTTCGTGGGATTCATGCTTGTATCCACTCTGTCATTCTGTTTGCCTCCGCTCCCTCCCTCCCTCTTCATCGGTGGGTTGCTAGGTGCGGCACTGCCTGCAGTGTCCAGTTCTGGATCTCCCACCTCAGGAGCTCGAGGATCAAGATGACGACGACGATGCCGATACGGAAGACGAAGATGCAAGAACTGAAGCGTCTGATGGCATGTCAGATGTGACAGAAGCAGACGGTGAGGTTCCGAAGACCGTCTTCGACGACATTTGAGAGTGTGAGGATCTTCTTTCACTCTGTCGCTCTGAAGTCCCCAAATTTCACTGCCCTCGGATCCGATCCTGGCACGAAAAGCCCAGCTGGGGATGCTACGGGATGCTCTTGAGATGAGCCAGCAACATCTGACGCAACTAGCCTGGCCTAGCGGCTGCTTCCCTATTCCCTGGTGCAGGATGGAGGTCTAAGGGAGCTCCTGGCCTTGCTCCAGAACTGCGATGTCCACCTGCGAACCCTGAACCTCAACGCGAATCGCCTCACCGAGGCGCCCAGGACCCAGCAGAGTTGCAAGCGCCTGCAGAAAGCTGCGCCTTCTTGCGCCTTTTCTCGCAGATCCGAGGTCCCTTGTCGCCATCTCTGATCTCATCTCAAAGTCGCGCTTGCCGATCTCGGCGGCTGCGGCCTCTGGGTCTTCAGGTCTTGGTGGCACTCCGAGCTAACATTGTCTCTCAGAGGTGCTGATGGAGAACAACAGGGTCCAGGCCAGGCAGGGACCAACACTTCCGGCTTTCGCTGTGTTGTCGACGCTGAGGGCTCGTACGGCTTGATGAACCTGGTACGGGCTCTGAAGAGCAATGCCCAGAGCCCAGCACAAAGCCTTAAAGCCGTGGGATTGCAGGGAGACTGCATGGCCCGGTATGCCCATGGAGGCCCAGTACCCCATTTTGAGGGAGGACACCGGGCGCTACACTCCGCTGATGCTTCATTTAGCACCGGCCCCACATGCATGGGCCACAGGGCCCAGCGTCTGCTGAAACGTCTGTACAGGCTGGCAACATGATCGAGCGTCCAATGCAAGTTACGCAGCTTGTGAAAGAAGCCTTTGACAATCGATTCCCTTCCACATCCGAGGCGCAACAGAGTCGCAACCTCCAGCAGCGAAAGCTCTTCTCCCCGTGCAGCTGTGCAGGAGAGGCAGTACTGGGAGGTGAAGCAGCAATGCCCCCCTTTGCAGTTGCCGAGAACTGAGAATGTCCTTCCCACCAGATTCTTGAGTGACCTCTTTCGGCACGAGGCCCATGTTTGAGAAACAAGAGACCTCGGCTTGGCAGTGAAGTATCGACATCACAGCGCAGACGGACTGCGTCATGAGTCTCACACGATTCTAGAGAAACAGAGGGAGCTGGCCGATGTTGCCGATGCCGCATGTGCCGAGTTCGCTTCAAAGAGCAGCGACCGGAGCCGCGCGCTGCCGGCTCTCAAAGAGTCCAAAAGAGCAATGCCGGCTCCAGCAGATGTGATGGGTAGGATATGGTGAGATGGGTGTTTTTTTAATCGAAAGGCATGTCTCCAAGTCCAAGTACCCACTCTTACTACAAGTACTGTCATTGTTATGATAGGCAGCGACGCCATGGTCGAAGAACTGAACCCCAAAAGGTCTGCTCAGCCTCGATGGCTGCAGGCATGGCGACACTCCTCGGGTGGCAAACCAAATTGAATCTCGGAGGCATCTCAGAACACAGCCTTGATGCATCAATACCGCCCTGCTTCGTGGCGTGGTGTGATCAGGCAGTCTCGGGGCCAGCATAACCGAGAAGCTTTGCAGACAGCTTCGACTGCAGCCTTTTCCTTGGCAAGCGAGCCAGATGGGCATTCTAGTGATGGGCCACTCGCTGTGAATACCAGCTGCTACAAGTCCGTGTGAACGGCGGCTTTGGCAGCGGCTCTTTGCCCTGGCCGTCTTTCGGCCGCGAGCTGTGAAGGCCCCTGCTGGTGCTGCATTCAGTTCTTGAAGCTTTGGCCTGATTGTCTACTTCACCTTCGTTCTGAACTACGAGTTGCTGGGCATCCCCGCACTCTATGCCATATGCTATGATTCGCAATCCGAGCCTTGGCCTCTTGCGTGCAGCCGGAACGCCTGCCCACAGGAAGCTGGGCAGCTGAGCTATCGACATACAAGTCGCGACTGTGGCTGAGGTCACTTTCAGCTTCGTCGTCTTCCCAGGCACCTGTGGGATGGAAAGGATTGCCTGAGGCGTCACATCTCTTTCGGCTATCGCCTGCCAGCCGGCCGTGGCACTGCTTCCACTGCTTGAGATGGCAAAGAGCACCGACTCAGGTAAGGCAAGTCGCAAGGGCAGCAGCATGGAGCGAGCATATGCTGCGACTAGTTGTTTTGCGTTTTCCCTTCTGGCGTCAGCAAGGAACACCCTTAGATACTTGTGTAATGTGTCCCGGTTCACATACCCATTTCTGATCTTGCGACCTCGTCAACATAACAGTCACTATCAGACTATGTGCTTGGGGCCTCTGATCGCCTTCATTGTGGAAGGCTGCCCCCTGCCCCCGCGCAGGAATTGAATTTCTTCACACTGCACCGAACGAAATTTGACTGCGCCCGAAGGGGACGTGTACGACAAAATAGAAAGGGGTGGCTCAAGCCCGAAAGTTTAGCCGAATGAGTTTCTACCTTCATGCAGCATTCTATGTCCTGGCTCCTGTGGCTATTTCGGTAGCCGTTGGGGTCTCCCCCAAGACGTAGGTTCTTGTTAGTTGGAGGGTTGGGCCTACAGGATTTTATTTCGACCCGGGTTCCCGACCCCACGAGCGTAGTCTGGATGTGCACAGGCGTATTCTGTGGAAAATCAAAGCCTGCGGTCCCGAGCTTGGGGTTGGGCTTGTACAAGAGGATTCTGTTTCTTGGCTTGGGTTCTGCACAGACTGGAACACCCAGACATAGGTGCTCTGGGAGATCATGTTTGTTTCAGAGTTCTGGAATGCGTCTGCGAACACGCACGCGAACTTCAGGCCCGCAGCATTATGTTTCGTCATGTGTTCGGTGCACACGACAACCCATGCATGTTCCGAAATCGGCGATCTGTCAGGGTTCAACCCTTGCGAAACATTCCTATTGACTGTGTTGACGTGCAGGTTGAAGGCATCAGGGTATGCCAGCGTCATGCTCCCACTCTTCTAAGCAGTGTCACAAGAAACCGTTCCTGGTTCGGAACATGCATGTGATCGTTCGGGGAATGACTCTTGTACCTGTGCGTGACATGAGAGTTGGAATTGCGTTGTCCTTGGCTCAGCGTTTTGTGCCATTTGGCAACACCGTGTGGAAGCAAATTGGAGACACTTCAATAGGTGGTGTTTGCTCAACGTCTTGTGCTGATGCTTGCCTTGCGTTGGCTCCGTTGAAAAGGCGTCGCTCGACAATCATGTTTTGCGGTTCCAGCATGGCATAGCATGGCTATATGCCGGGTCAGTTGAGTTGACAAGAAGTTGCTGCTTGCAAGCGCTACGTTGATTAGATTTACAACAATCAGCAGATTGTTGTGCCGCTCGTGCTTGTCGCGTGCTGCATGCTTCATTTATCCTTCCTGGATCAATTGGGAAGAGACTCGGGCACGTCTTTGCACCATGACTGGCTTGACGTTACACTGTGCGCGTCCCCGGCTGGGATAGAAGTTCTTCGCAAAGTTGGGGATGTTGGGTTCCTTGTAGGCCAGGTTGAGCAACCCGAGAAGTTTTTGCCTCCCGCCCTTCCTTAGTAGACCTCATTTGTAATGTTGAAGTCCTGCACTCCTGTGTGGCCTCCCGCCTTTCGGGCTGGCAGCAGCTTCAGCTCACGTCCGAGGCACTTGTGCAAGTCATCGTTCAAGTGGCTTTGTGGCTATGCTACAGCTACCCTCCGCACTTCATCTTTAGAATGCGGGCACATCAACAGCACATGCCTCATGTTGCACGCATTGTTCGCCTCATCGATCGTCATTTCCTTTCCTACTGAGTTTCTTTGTTTCACCGCAGTACTCGGCACTTCAGCGTTTGTTTGTAGTTTAGGGGCTTTAGCTTTTGGTGTTGCTCAGGGAGATGGGGAAGCCGTGGAGCCATGGTGGAAAAGGTCACCGCCACGCTTCCAAGAGAACCAGCAGCTTGCCACTTTGGGACCAATGCTTACGGCAGCTGGATTCGGCCAACCCCAAACAGGCCCTCCGGCGTGCTTCCTGCAACTCCCAGCCCCTTGGCATGTCGCCTGTGCCTATGGGGCCTTCGCCAGCGGTTCCAAATCCGCAGTGGCACTGCCGCAAACGTCTCAGTTGTTCATTACGCAGACAGCTAGCTCCCTGGCAGTTTCAGACTTCGGCTCTTACACACGGCGGGGCTCCCACAGAACTGCCAACGCAAGGGCCGAATCCGATCACATCTGCTATGGTTTCGATGACGACTGCTGTGTAAAAGCTTGTCAATCACTTCTCCCCCTCGGAGGCTTCCACTGAAGAAAAATCATCCCAGATGAAAGGAGATGATGCGGAAGACAAGGCTGTGCAAAAAGCCTTGCAAGGCGAGCCTAGTGGCTTGCTACGTGATTTGTTGAAGGTTGCACGGGACCGCAACAAAAGTGACTTGTGTAACAGTGGTTCTCAGAAACGCGTCACTCCAAAGACAAAGCTCGCAGCAAACGCTCTGCGCATGTGGATCTCAATATGGATGCTCTGACGGCCATTGTTGGGTCCATTTTGGAGCCACAATGGGAGCCAGTGGAAGATGCAGATTGTGACGAGCAGACAGCGGATGTGAAGATTCAGATCGTGACGAAACTCCAGCAAGCCATGGGGAATGGGGAGATCTCTCTTGCGGCGCCGAAGAAGCGCGCGTGCAAGACATCGTGACTAGGGACACTCCGCTGGTGTCTTTATGTTGGGCTGGTGTCTACAGGATGTGAAGTCTGTTGCTGAATTTGTTACATTTTGTTGTGGCTTCTTTGCACAGCAGGTGTTGGATCTGAGCCAACTTCGAAAGAGCTGCTTGATCCACAAGCTTCTGTCTTCGACCGACAAATTATGGGGAGGATCCAACGTGCAATCCGCAAGTTCCTGTGACTGCCACCCTCCCATGTGTTGTCAGATGCTTGAGACAACTTCGCAGAATGCTGAGTCTCACAATGCCGTGTACCATACCGTACCCATGTATGCTAGTGAGGATACTCACAAACATGAGCCACTGTTTCCAAGTGGAAGCAACTTTTCGGTGCCTGGCGATGCTGATGGAATTAGTGTTGCAGTCATGTCTACTCGCTGGGCCTTTATTGGATGTTTCATGATTTGGGCCCTGACATCTTGGTGGCACAGAAGACCAAGGTAGCATTCTGTTGCCCGCAATGTGATTGTTCATGCCCAAACATGTAGATGTGCAGCGAGGCGCTCAAGGCCAAGTCTCAACGAAGTGGTTGTTGTTAAAATTCTTGCTGTTGGCGAAGTTGTTCCCGACGTCTTTGTGTGGGGTGCTTACTTTTGAGGCTCTCGCCTCCTTCTCCTCCGCTTCCTCCTCCTCCTCCTCCTCCGCACCACGCACCACACCTCCCCCCTCTTCCTCGCTCATCACTCACACTGTATACTCATTCACATTGTAACACACTCACCACGTGACACACTCACCACGCGACACACGCTCTGTTGGAGGCGACCATGCACCTTGCGGAAGACTGATAATACTGTAAACACATTCACCACGCGACACACCCTCTATTGGATGCGACCACCCTCCGGAAGACTGTAAATGCGACTAAGACATACTAAGACTGTAAACGCGACTAAACGCCCTCTCTATAGAGGGCTTGTTGGATGCCGCGCGCGCTTCGGGGCGCGCACCCTCTGGAAGACTGTAAACGCGACTACACGCCATTAAATGCCATAGAGGGCTCTGTTGGATGCCGCGAGCGCTTGGGGGCCCTTTTTCTTGGGCGCTCCGTTGGATGCCGCACGCGCGTGGGAGCCCCCACCGTCCGGAAGGCTGTAAACGCCACTTAACGCTCTCTTCACAGCGTTCTGTTGGATGCCGCGAGCTCCGGAAAATAGTAAATGCCACTAAACGCCCTCTCCAGAGCGTTCGGTTGGATGCCACGTGCGCTTGGGCCCCCCACCCTTTGTGGAAGAAGGCTGTAAACGCCATTAAACGCCCCCACGCCACTAAACGCCTTCTCCAGAGCGTTCGGTTGGATGCCACGCGCGCTTGGGGGCCCCCATTCTGGATGAGTGCTGAAACGCCACTACATGCTCTCTTCCGTTGGAGGCCGTGCGCGCTTGGGGGCTCCCACCCTGCGAGGCAGGCTGGCGGC